ATACATGCAACTGTTAATAAGAAATGAGGCCATTCTACCATAACTGATACTTAAACAATTGCCAAGATCCATTGGGCAGGGGGAGGAAACTGTGATGTGGAGCTCTGCTTACAGTGTGATCTAAAAATTCCCTATCATAAATATTTCTGGAAGGATACACAAGAAACTGCTGATGGTGGCTGGCGGCAAGGATGACAGGGAACTGGGGACTGGAGAATGCGGTGGGGATGTTCAGTGCACAACTATGTGTACTGTTGACAGCTGTTCTCCAACCCACATCTTTACCTTCTAATAGGAAACGTAAATGAATTAAGTCCCGACTCTTTTCACCTGCCTGAGCACTTCTCCATTACTTGAACAAAGTGGGCAAACCCACTGAGAAGGGTCTGGGGATACTCACTAATGGTGCAGACACAGAGTCTCTCTGCTTGGCAGTGAGCTGGGATGACAAACCGAGAGAGGACAGGGAGGTCAGACATGGACCTTGGTGGAGGAGCTACATCCCGTCATCAGGGAAGTTGGGAGGACCTCACTGCCCACACAAGACTCCTGAGTGTTGAACAGGAAGGCGGTGGGCTCAGCACAGAGCAGCCACACACTCTGACAAGGGGAGGTTGTCCTTGCAGTCATCCTGTGGAAAACCTCTCTGATCCCCATCAATACCAGAAGCTTTGGCTGGCTGCCAGCCTCCTCGGCTGCACTGTTGCGCCAATAAATACTTGTTGGCAGATCGATTAAACCATCTAGGAAGGACGTCTGGAAATACAGCTTTTTCTGCTTGGTGCAAGTGGACCGGCCTTCGAGGCCAGCTAGCCCCAGGATACCATCCCTATGCTTCCGCTCTTCATCCAAAAGTCAGTGATGAGCACCTGTGGGCCCTCTGTACAGAACATCCCCAAAACAGCACCAGAGTGAAACCTTCAGCCTCGGGCACAGCTCATGGGTTCCCCCTGACAAACAGAGCCATAAGTCTCCCTGTATCAAAGCTATTGAGGCCCCGAGACTGTTGGCCTCCATGGGGGGGGAGGGGCTCCTTTCCTCCACCTTTGTCACTCACACCCCATTCACCATACAGGAACTCCAAGATGAAGGCCTTCTGTTAGCACTCAGCCACCAGCCAGCATGTGGAAAGAAGAGCCTTCAGGCTAGAGAGCAATTCCAGACAAAGCCAGGCCACCCTGAAGGTGCGTGTCCCAGTAGATGGGGCATCTTCCAGACACTGCTCAGTGATGAAGACGCCTGATTCCAAACAGAATCAGAGCCATCCTCTGCATCCAGCCTAGCTTTCAGTGCACTCGGCAGAGTTCTTTGAGGTCGGGGAAGGAAGCAATGGAAGGAGAAAAAGCAAGAGACAGTATGGCAGGATCTCGGCTAAATTCACCACAAAGGGCCACAAAGTCAGGTGGAGCCGACTCTTCCGTGTTGCCTCCGTGTCTGCTGGGTTCTACACAAGAGTTTCACACCATATTTGCCTCAGCCTAAATCCAGGCTCCTGAGCTATATGAGCTGTGTGCTTTTGAACAACTCGCTCAAGCTCACTGCACATCAGTTCCTTCAGGGTGAATGAAAGATGATCATCCATATATTAGCTTAAGGGGTATTTCGATGACTAATTTTATAAAGGGCTTAGAAAAGAGACCAGCAGGATGAGGTACTTCTAGCTAGTGTTATTATTGCTATTACTAGGTTGGCTCTAGACAACTAAGACAGCCTAATCACGTACCTGGCTTGGTCTGCATACATCTCAGCTACACACTTCTCATCTGTCTGAGTTGCAGACCTTTGTGCATCCTTCAGGTCTTTGCAGTAAACTCCCAAATGCTAAACCATATCATTCCATGGTGTAGCAAAAAGAACAATTCTATCCATGAGAGTTTCCGGGGCATCGTACATTTGCAAGAGGAGATTGCATTGCTAGGAGCGCTTCAGAGTTCCGTGTGGTAAGACCTTTTAAGGCTTGCTTTTACAGTCATAAAAAATCATAAATTGCAAAGGAGTTATCCATTAACAACTTCCATTGCATTAGAGGAAAACGCTTTACAAAGGCCACTCTTTGTATTCCATTCATGACCCCCAGCGCCTCTTTCAGCTCAGCTGGTTAATTGCAGCAATGGGCTCCAGCTACCAGGTGTCTGCTCAGTGCTGGTATGCCTGATCACCCAAGCTGAAGAGGGGCACTGAGGCTTTGAGGAAGGAGTAACCCCAAGGGACAGCCCTTTTATTCTTTCCCTCCAATCCCCCAACCCCAATCAGGTTACCAAGTCCACAATCAACAAAGGCTCAGAATTCTTTCAACCCACAGATCTTCACACTGGGCCACCTCCCCAACCCAGCAACTCTGAGGCCAAACTATTTCCCTCCCTGGGAATTTGTGGTGGAATTTGGCCCAGGTCACCCTCTACATATACAACATAGCTCTTTCTCAATCACCCCCAGCCCTGGGACTCCATTGTAGCCCAGGCTACCACATAGTAAGGATTTATCCCAAGCTGAGCTTCCCTCTCTGCCCTCATACCTCTACCCACGGTAGAGGGTGCCAGTCTTGTCTGGAGAACAGGCTAGCACGATGCCAGACTAACCTACCTGATCGTCAAGTAGGAGATGCTACAGGATGCATCATGATATCCTATTTCATTATCACAGCCTTTACCCCATACTCTCCTATACCTCCTGAATCCTGTTCCAGATTCTGACAAGCTTGAAAACCCCCAGCCACTGGAGAGGAAGATGAAAACATCCGAAAGATCCATGAGGTCAAAATGCATAAAACACAACTGTCTCTCCCACCCAGTCTTGTTCAGCAATTCAGGAGATCCCTGACTCTAACAGCTACAGGGCAGCCACAGGGACATGTTAGTGCCTTAGTTTTGTTGTTGAAGACCAAGGAATAGACTGGAGTGCTCAATAACCAAAAGAAATATTCTTTTTTAAGGCTTTCATAGCTCCCCCTGCTGTCAATTTCAGACATTTGATCCTGGCTACCACACTGATGCCAACACCCAAACTAAGAAAGGGATCTCATGCCCCATTTTACAGAGGAGTAAAGTGGAGCCTAGGAAATTAGAGTGACTCACTGGAGACAGAACCACTGTGCTGGGTATGTTCAGAGGTACAGGACACACCCTCCAGAGCAAGCCCAAATTAACTCCAGCGGTAAACTTCCCAGTTGGGCCAGAGTACTCACTGATGCCACGGTTTCCTCATCCTTGGGATTTGCCTCACCATATTCATCTAAGGATTCCAGACACTTCCTACAAGATGCCATGATGATCACCCTGCTCAGAGAAGACTCATCTGCTCCAGGGTTTTACAATTCAACAGAAAATGGAGCATCATTCCACCATTAATCTTAGTCCAACAACCACAGAAACCAATGCCAGTAAAAATGCTGCCAATTATACCAGAGTTGGGGGCTCCGGCCACTTTTGTGTTAGCCTGCCACCTGTGAACTGTCAGTCCACTTTTTGCTTAAGCAAACACACAAGTCAAACCTTGTCGGTGGTTCCTTTGCTGAAGTGATACTCTTGGGCTCTCAACTAAAGAGGGGATCATGGGAAAATGGTTGGTCTCAGAAGACAATAGATCTGGCGGCGGAGGGGGTTGGGGGGGAGTGGCTTCTGCTTATGGTTCTAGAGCTCTGTCCTTTAGGTTTTTGTTTGCTTGTTTGTTTTTGTTTTCTCTGTCTTTCAAAAAAAGTAAAAGGGGTCTGGAATCAGCCTCACTGGTTGGCAACTATACCTCTCATTTAAAATGAACCCTAGAATTGGGGCTGCAAGTGCTCACTTCTGTAGGTTTTGGTAGGAGTATGGGAAGAAGTCTATAGGTGGGTGCTGGTGGTCTGGCACATTGTCACTTTTTCCACTGCTGTGACCTAACCCCTCCTGGCTTAGGCTTAAGAAGGTATATGGTCCCCATGACAAGAAAAGTCTAACAGCAGAAGGAGGAGGCAGCTGGTCACATGACATTTATAGTCAAGCAGCAGAGCACTGACATAAAGTGAAGCCAGGCTATAGAAACTCAAGATCCACCCCCTCCATGATTAGCTTCCTCCCATAAGGTTCCATTTCCTGAGGGGGAACAGTGTTCAAATATATGAGCCTATGAGGGACATTTCATGTTTAAACCACAATAGCTGGTATGAGTGAGCAAGCCCAATAAAGTGCTGGGATTGAGTTGGGTCATGTAGCTATGTGTGCCTTTCCTGGAAGCTACACTTCCTGTCCCTGCCTCTGCCTCCCGAGTGCTGGGAATAAAAGCTGCACCGCCGCCACTACCTGACATTACTGTGACCTTTAAACCACCTCATAGGTTATGCATTTTAAATAAAGGAAGACCTCATGTTGCTAGGGTGAAACCCAGCAACGGAGGATTTTCACTCCAACCACACAGTCTTTAGCAGCTGCTGGGACACTTCCCAGTATCTAGATTTCTGGTTGTCTGGAAAAATGGCAGAATTCCATAGTACAGGGCTTCTTTCCACAGGCTACAGTCAGCTGGAGGTGAGAGTAGTTTACCTCCTTTGACAGCTGCCAGGAGGAGCTGGGATTTGGGTGTTTGGACCTGCATACAGTAGGTGGCAACAAATGACAGTTGCTAACACTACTTCTTGTTTAATAGCTAGACTTCCACCCAGGGACTGGGCATGAGTGATGCTCTCCAGCTTGGGTCATTTCATAAGTCTCTTTAGCATCCACAGCCCTTATCAAGTGCATTTACTGTTCTAAGTACACATATGATCCTAGATGACCCTCCTGAGTGCCCTGAGTTGGAGTATGCCATGTGACCCTCCTGAGTGCCCCGGGTTAGATTATGACCACCGTGCCACTTGCACAGCCTCCAAACTGCCTAGCCGTCAACGAGGTCAGAGTTCAAGGGCCCTGACCACTGCTGAAAACGGCGGGATTCCCCAACTGCTGCTCTACCTGCTCTGCTTCCCCCCTCCCTAGCCTCCTGGGGCAGGGAGCCTCAGCACCCCTTGCCATCTAGGTCAGCAAACTTACGGTCAAGGCCATTGATGTAGCGCATGGTGACTTCACAGTGGCCCCACACAGCACTCACGACCGGGTACAGTTTCTTGCCCTTGAGGCCACGGAAGGCCACGCCCAGGTACTGGCCATCCACGATGAAGCTGAGCGTGCCCTCGTCCATGTCCAGCACGACCAATAAGGAATCTGGCAGAGCAAAGGCCTCATCTGGCCCCAGGAAAGCAGGGTATGCTACCCCAGGACGGTTCTTGCCATCGTGGTAGAGGCGGCTGCGGCCCAAGTTGCAGCCCCATGACTCGG